TACCTGTGTCAAAAGAAAATCGTTACATTTTAACTATCATTGGAAAGATTCTAAGTTTGCGGTTTTATAGTCCATCAAATAAAAGTGCAAGTTTCTGCAATATTCCGACGATTTTTGATAATTTTTTTTCTGGCGGTGTCATACATTTTCATCCATTTGAAAAATATTCGAACACACTTTATATGGAAAAAAATCATAGAATCGAAAACTTGGAATCTCCCTAAAAATTCTGAATTCAAAGTTTGTTGGTGCGAAAACCTGCTAAATTGTTATAATTTTTTACGAAGTTAGAAATGCCGATTTGGGTACATATAGTGTGTTAAATTATGAATAAGACTTTTTTAAGAAATCAATCGAAAAATAATCAATGAAAAGAATAGGCGAAACTGATCTAAATGTCTCAAGCCATTTTTTCGCATATAGGTACATACATGCATATGTATGTATGTGTGTAAAAATTTTAGAATAGCTATATTTCGGTATATTTCCCCTCCGTAATTGGAATTCTGTTTAATTTTGCAATGAATTTATGCATATGTCTAAGGAATCCTTCATAAAAGTGATTTACTGTCATAATTTAGTTAATTAATAATTATTATATTACTTCTGTGCCTTTTATAAATATTATTTCTAAAAATATATTGCTCTTAAAACGCTTTAAAAGAAATTTAATTATGGGGCACTTCCATCTTCTTTTCGGCATTATTTTCGAAGACCATTAGCCACATTTTGAAATTTTGAAGTCGATCAGCCTCAATCCGTTGTCGGACGTTTCATCGTGGAGGCTGCATTTTCCGACGGTGGTTACAAAGATCCCTGCCTTGACCACCCTGGCATTGAAGTCGCCAAGCTCATAGAAGAGATCTTTGGATGCCTCATCCATCTCTTCCGTCGGGGCATGGGCGCAGATGAGCGAGATGTTGAAGAATGTTATGTGGCTAGTTTTCAGGGCGAGGTACGGTGGCATTAAGGCATGCTCGCGATCCCGGGCTAGCTCGTCGTTGGGGGGGGGGGGGGGGGGGGGGGGCGTCGCCCCCCCCTATCTCGTCTACAAGCTGGGGATGTGGAAATAACCTTTAGTATCGATACTTATACTTGGAAGAATTTTGCTGAAAAGGCATCGATACCAAGCCGATACCAACCAAAAAGTATCGAGTATGTACTTTTATTTACTCATTTGCCGCCAGCTAGCTTGCTACTTTTACTTAAAAATTTTAGGTTAACCGTGAAGATCCAATTAAAACATGTGCAAAATGATGTCTCATCCAAACGATTAAACAACCGTCAAGCAAACAAATAATAAAAAGACAAATACATTTGTTTTAAAGATTTGTTTACGAACTGTTTCTACAAGCTTAACTTTCAGTTGAAGCAACACCACCAAGAAAATGAAATTCAAATGAAATGAGGTATGGCAAACCACAATAGCAACGGTAAATTTTGTTTGCCCTGTGGCTCAAATGGCTTTGAGTTGATCGAATATTGTGCTCTCACTTATTGCTCTACCTTATATTTTGGCATTTGTACTTTTGCTTTACAAGCGATGGGAGTTTATGTATGAGTACTTTTTGCCGATACCAAGTACTTACATCCGATACCTACTTATTGTATTTGGTGAAAGTATCGATGCCAAAAGTACTTGGTTTCAAGATGAAAGTATCGAGTACCTACTTGTATTTACTTGTATCGCAACATCCCTACTACAACCACATAAGCAAATTTATTCATGCCTTGCACATACACGTTGGCCAGAGGCATATCCACTTAGGGATTTTTCAGCTAATTCTATAGCAACAACATTTGTTCAAAATTACGTTCCTCGTTTTGGCATTCCACTTTATATAAAAGTAGATCAAGGATCACAGTTTACATCAAAATCGTTCACAGAACTAACTAACTTGTTAGGATCACACAAAATTCATACGTCCCCATATCATCCTCAAACAAATGGAATGATTGAAAGATTTCATAGGACATTAAAGACTGATATTACTGCTTCAGATTATTCTACCCACTGGTCTGAAATTCTTCCTTGGATATTGTTAGGACTACGTACGTCTATTAAAGAAGATTTAAAATGCTCTTCTACAGAATTAGTTTATGGACAAACATTAAGATTACCAGGTGAATTAGTTGTTACGCACAGTTATAATAATGAAGTTGATAATACAGATGAAACTCTTTCTAAGCTAAGAAAATATTTTTCAAATGTTAGATCAAAGGTTGTACATCACAATAAAGAATACTCTTTTGTTCCTAAAAATTTGGATACTTGTGAGTACGTTTTTGTTAAAGTTATTCAAAAGTCAAATTTGCAATCACCTTATAAAGGACCATTTAAAATTATTTCGAAAAATGACAAAGTATTCAAAATTCAACATGGAAATATGATTAAAACGATTTCAATAGATTTACTCAAACCTGCAAATATAATTTCTGTACAATAAAAAAAGTCTAATTCACTAACAATTCCAAATACAAAAAAGAAAATAACATTTAACATTAATTAATTTATTGTTTTACTGGAGGGGGAGTATATGTAAGGTATTTTACTTGTATGTTTTTATACTTGTTTAAATTCTTGATTTTCAGTTTATGGTTCTATGAATTTGTTTATTGTTAAAAAGAAAATTTTTGATTAATAAATAAACTTTCTGTATTAAAACTTAAAAGATATTTCTTCTAAAAATTAAATCATCTAATAATATAATAACATCCTTTTATGAACCATACGTTAAGTTAAATGGAATTTGTAGAAATATGCTCCAAAGAAATATTAATAACATCCTTATATGAACCATACGTTAAGTTGTATGGAATTTGTAGAAATATGCTTCAAAGAAATATTGATTAGCATTTACCAAACCCTTCAACTAAATTAATGATTTGTTACAACCTAGTTGAATATCAGAAGCTGTAATATATTTAGTTATAATTACCAACCCATGGTAATAGTTCCCAATCCTTAGTATCAGTTCCCAAGTATTGTCAAAATTCGGAAACTAAAAATCTTCAGTTGTCGAAAGTAGCCCTTTTTCTCTGTGTAGCTCATCATTCCATCGTCTGCGGTACTCGCCGTCGCTTCTGTTTCTGCGCCATATATCAGCACGGGTATGATGAGTGACTTATAGAGTGCACTCAGAAAAAGGTTTAGTTATAATTACCCAGATTTGGTTATAGTGACCAAGTGGCATAGTTGGATATGGCGAAATAAATATCTAGTTCACGAAAGTCTGCAATTTACTTGAGACTTCTAGTTGGGACAAATGTATATTTGTCAATAATTACAAAACGACTCCCTTGACTGGATAATATCGTTAGTTGAATAAAATCATTGTTGAGGAAATATAAACAATGCTTTGGTTGATACAAGTTTTCAATTAATTTTGTGAACTTGCTGTAGACTTGAATCAGCTAACCGTTTATTATTGGAAAAGAGTTTCAGTTTGACACAAATAAAAATTTACTCGATGGTTGTTGTGTTTACTTTCGTCTTTTATTTGCATATATTAAGCATAAAAATACATACATATTTACGTAAGAATCTCCTAAAAAGAAACGATGAAACAGGAACTGTCGTGCGAAGACCCAGGTCAATATCTGCTGGAAGCAGTGATCGGACTTCTACCACATTGTGGTAGATGTGCCAATTTTTTGAGCATCTACCACATCTACCACAGAAAGTCTGAAATCTACCACATATTCGCGTTTTTAAGTAGTTTTATTTTTGCTCGACATAATTGTCTTAAGTTTAAGAGCAAAAATTGTTCAGCACAAAACACTAACAACAAACAGAATGGGAGGACAAAATACACCGTAAAATAGTAAGTTTTCTCAATGTTCAATTTTTCGATAGGAAACATGGTTTTATTGTGTTAAATTGCAAAATATATGATTTATAAAAAAGAATTAATAGCGAAAATGTTAAAAACAGCGATTTTTGAAAAAGTATTAGAATATTTCAGAGCATCTAAAGTTTCTAACGCTTTATTTATTTTTACTTGAGAATTGTCAAAATCGGCAAATCCCAAGTAGCGGTTTCTGGAACGTGTTCGCCACATCGTGATGTGATAAAAAGAAAAGCTGGCAGCACTTACCAAGGTTGCAGAAATCTTTCAAAATATGTTCGAAAAATATCTTGATATGGAAGGAACTGCTTTACGTTGTCTAGGAAAAAAATTGTCAAAACTCAACGAAAATTTTAGCAACTTCAATCTTGCACTTTATTGTACTAAAGTTATTTTTTTTTAGATTCTAATAAATTGTTTGCAGTTTAATTGAAACCTTGCAGAATATTTTTAATTTGTGTACAAAGTTTGATCCAAAACCTGAGATCTACCACATTTTTTTAAAATCTACCACATTTTTTTCCAGATTCTACCACAAAAATTTTTTTTCAATTCCGATCACTGGCTGGAAGTGCTGGTTTACGTATACTGCTTAGCTTTTTCCTTGGCTAAATAGATACTTTCAAATTATGATTCAAATGAATTATATATCCACTGAGAAACACCGGTTTGCATCAAACTTTATATTTTTAAATAACTATGCGCACACCGAAACAACTCGCGGCGATGGCAAAGCTGAAACTGAGACAAACAAGTCTGGGCATGTCAAAGCACACACTTTTCTTTCTCTACCTAGCGCAGTGATCGACATGCCATAGCTTACTGAGCGCTCTGTGACCACACGCGTGTTTTACCCATATACGAATAGCGGTAGCGGAGCAATGTTTTCCACGCACACAGTCTCATTCAATGAATCGTTGTTATGCAATGGTCGGCATACTAGCACATTCAAACGATTCAATAAGTGGGACTGTGTGCATTGCTCAGCTGGCGCCAGTGCTGCCGCTACTACTTCAATCGAAGTATTTTGCTTCATTTTCACAAAATTTACTTCGTCACTCCTTCTTCCAAAAATCTGCTTCACTTTTTGTTCTGCTTCAAATTTTAAAATTTTTTCCCTATATTACCTAATTGTTTTTCCTATTCCCTTAATTACGATGAAAATAGTGGTTTTAATCACTGAACATATGCAAACGCTATTTTTCATCGCTGGAATGGCAACCCTTTATTTTTGCTTTGTAAAAGTGTCATTGCGTGAACTGTCAAATTGTTGTGAGTTAATAACGTATGGACATGTGATGTGCAAGATGAATCGGTAAGTAGTGCAATAAATTCCATAAAAAATATAAATATATTATTAATTATAAATTCTTTAATATCTTTAGCAAAGGAATACGCTCACCGACGAAGAACAGGTTAATAAGTAGGTATGTATGTTTATTTTAATCTAACTTTGCAAACAAGTATTTCTGCATGGTGCGTTTCAATTTGTAATGTGAAAGAATAACTTAAAATTCAACTTTCTTTTTCAGCTATTTCCAAAAGGAGCTACCTGCACAAAATTCAGATCCAGAAAATGAAGGGTTAGTATATCATTGAACAAATTTATTTGTGTTTTATACATATAAAAAAGCACATGAAAATCAAAATGGCGGCTATATCAAGTTTTGTCAATTGACTTTTACAGTGGCAGATGCAGTTCATCTTCAAGTGATTCGTCTCCTCAAAAAGAAAGGACTTGTCTAGACAATTGGTAAATTTTGTTATCAAACATTTTCTCCGATTTTTAATAAAAGATATACATATGTACATATGTAACTGTTACAGTATTTCTTCTTCGGAATCTGACGACCATGAGCCTGCAGCGACTTTTCCATCACGACAAAAAAAATATAAACAACATTTCAGAGAGGAATGGAAGCGTGATTTAAGTTGGCTAGATAACATCAAAGGCAAAGCATTTTGCAAAATTGGCCAAAAATATCTCTCTAACAATAAAACAAATATTGAAAGACATGGCTATGGTGAGTCACATAAAAAAAATGAATGCACATTGAAGCAGCAGCCGAAAATAAACCAAAATAAAAAAGTGCAAGCATTTGAATCGAAAATTCGAAAAATAAAAATTGCGGAGCTGAAAATAATATTATTTTTGTGTGTTCACAATTTACCTTTTGCACTGATTACACCATTAATTGGTCTTATTAAGAGTGTTGCCAGAAACGATGAAATAGTGAAAGAAATAAAGTGTGGTAGAACCAAAGCAGCAGAGACAATTAATGGTGTATTGGCTGAAAATTTTATGGAAGATATGGCTAATTGTTTAAGACACAATAAGTTTTCGCTTATTATAGACGAATCTACTGACATAAGTACCTCAAAATGCCTAGGAGTAGTTGCTCGTTATTTTGATCAACAAAATGGCAAAATTCGAGACCGTTTTCTAAGACTGATTGAAGTACAAAAATGTGATGCATGATCATTATTTGAGGCGCTAAAAAAATTGTTTATTGATTTGAAAATACCATTTGAAAATGTTGTTGGATTTGCCGCTGATAATGCCGCTGTAATGATGGGTGGCGTTTCAGGTGTTAAAACCTTATTAAAAGAATGGAACCCCAATCTTTATGTGATTGGCTGCATTTGCCATTCAATGCACCTATGTTCTTCAACAGCCACGAAAACCATACCTCCAGAAATAGAACAATTAGTAAGAAACATTTATTATTTTTTTGCACATAGTAGTAAGAGGCAAGTGGAATTTCAAGAATTTCAAGATTACTTTGACTTAAAAAAGCATAAGATTTTAAAAAGAGCTGACACAAGATGGCTTAGTTTGGAACACGCCATAGTAAGAGTGTTAGAACAATGGCCAGCTCTTCAAACTTATTTGGCTAGCGCTGCTTTTGAGGAAAATAATGACATTGCTAAAAAAATCTTAGAACAAATGACACCGTTAAATAAATGCTATTTGCTGTTTTTAAGCAGCAGTCTAAAAAACGTAAATAAAATAAATTTAGAGTTTCAGGCAACAGAACCACGCTTCCATCAGCTCTTAAAAATATTAAAATTGTATTTAAAAAGTATTTTAAACAATTTCATGCACATAAACCTATTAAATTTTGAATCATTAAGTGAAGATACTATAGAAGATAGTACAATGTACAAAAAACTAGAAGATCTCTATCTTGGAGCAGAAACTGAAATGTTTATTCTAGGAGGCACTTTAACCGCGGAAGAGATTTACTCTATGCAATAAAATTGTTTACGTTTTTACATTTCGCTAAGCAAGCAAATTTTAAAAAGAATAAATTTTAAGGACCCAGTTTTGAAAGCACTACAAATAATTGATCCATTATCGTTAGGGCCAAGCCTTGTGCCACTTATTAATATATTCCCTAATCTCGTTGGAAATATGAACATTGAAGATATTAATGAAGAATGGAGACTTTTATTATTACATGCATTTTCCGAGGAAGAGATGACTCTTGAAATGTTTTGGCAAAATGTTTTTAAAGTAAAAAATAGTTTAGGAGAGCACATGTATCCACATTTGCGGCAATTTATAAGTTCTTTACTTTGCTTGCCTCATAGCAGTGCTCCCACGGAGCGTGTATTCTCCCAAATGAAATTAAATAAAACGGCTATCCGAAATTGTCTTAACGTAGAAACAGTGAGTTCCATACTTCTAATTAAAGAAATAATGTCAGAATTTGAATTTGAAAACTGGGTTCCACCCAAAGAAATCATAAATAAATACCAAAAAATTAAGACTAATTAAAATTTAAAATTATTTTAACATATTTGTATACATATATGTACTTATCATAGTAACGAAATGTGATTTATATTATTATTTGTATGTTTATTTTATTATATGTATCTATATTTAAAATGAAATGTCATTTTTTTTGTTTTTCTTATTAAATAAAATGAATTATATTGTTTTGTTTTCAAAAATGTATACTACTTCAATTTTATTCAATCTACTCCACTTTTTTCCAAAATCTACTTCACTCAATTTTTCTCTAGTGGCAGCACTGGCTGGCGCTCTTCGTATGTGAAACACACATGTGCTCAGAGAGCGCTGAGCATTATTTAGGGGTGGCGCACAAGCATGAATATGTTCCGCTCTCAAACCAAATCGTGGTTACCTCAACTAAGACTTGGTAACTATGACTAAACCATGTGTTGAAAGAAAGCTTATCTGTATTAGGAGAGCTTAATGACATCCTTTTATGAACCATACGCTAAATTGAAAGGAATTTGTAGAAATATGCTTCAAATAAATATTTGTTAATATTTACCAAACACTTCAACTAAATTAACGATTTGGTACAACGTAGATGAATACTAGAAGCTTTAATATATTTAGTTATAATTACCATCACTTTGTAGTTAATAGTTCCCAATCCTAGGTAACAGTTCCCAAATATTGTCAAAATTCGGGAACTAAATATCTTTAGTTATCGAAACTAATCCTTTTTCTCAGTGTGTGGTTTTCGTACGTCGAGAGAGGACTTTACTTCTGAATTGCCTACTCAGTCCAAAGTAGCACTTGTTGGCAAGAGTGATTCTGCGTTGGATTTCCATGCTGACATTATTATCGGTGTTAATGCTGGTTCCCAAGTAAACGAAGCTCTCTATTTTCCCGAAATTATAACTGTCAACTGTGACATGAGTGCCAAGGCACGAATGCACTGACTGTTTGGTGACAGGAGATACTTTGTCTTGTCCTCGTTTACCACCAGACCCATTCGCTTTGCTTCCTTATCCAACCAAAAAGTAGAACAGTATTCGGGGTTTTTGTTACCGATGATGTCGATATCATCGGCATAAGCCAGCAATTGCACGCTCTTGTAGTAAATTTTTCCTGAGCGGTTCAGTTCTGCAGCTCTTATTATCTTCTCCAACATCAGATTAAACAAGTCATGAAAGGGAGTCGCCCTGTCGGAAGCCCCGTTTAGTGGCGAACGGCTCGGAGGGGTCTTTCTCAATTCTGACCGAGCTGGTGGTAATGCTCAACGCCATTTTACACAGCCGTATCAGTTTGGCGGGGATTCCAAATTCAGACATAGCGGCGTATAGGCAACCCCTTTTAGTGTTGTCGAAAGCGGCTTTAAAGTCGACAAATAGGTGGTGAGTGTCGATCCTTTTCTCGCGGGTCTTTTCCAAGATTTGGCGTATTGTGAATACCTGGTCTATGGTGGATTTGCCAGGTCTAACGCCACACTGATAAGGCCCAATCAGTTCATTGGCGGTGGGCTTCAGTCTTTCACACAATATGCTCGGTAAGACCCTGTAACTATTCCTAGAATAAATCGGCAACATTATTTCTTTTATGTCATTTTAAGAATATGCTTTCGAAAATTCCCAAACTGATGAACTTCGCGTCAAATGAACTTCTTCAAAAACATATAATTTATGCCCAAGTCAAGGTTGCAAAAATAGGAAGCTCCATAGCGACGAAAATAGTTAATTTCGTTTACAAATTATAAGTTTGTGTTCCAAAACATATGACATATTAAAAAAGAATAAAATTGGTGCAAGAAATTATTATTCAAATAGCGCCTGTAGTAATAATAAAACGACTCATTCAGGTAATAAGAAAACGACTCGACCAGGCGAGTTGCCTGCGGCGTACTTTGTAGAGCGACTGATAATAAGAAATCGATACGATGGCAATATTGCCGGCAAAAAATTTGTTTGTGAGAGCGACAAGTTTTCTTATTTCCGGCAAAAAAAATTTCTTGTGGGAAATGCTGTCTACACTACTACACCCCCGTACTAAGTTATTTACATATTCATATTAAACAACTTCAGATACTCTTCACATTAATTTAGTTTCGCAAATATTAGTTGTCCTAGCTTACATACGTTCACTACGTTTAAATTCTATTTAAAAGAATAAAAAATAATAATAAAAGAAGAATAAAAGGAATTGAAGAAAAAAAACATTTTTAAACATAATTTAATCATAAATCTCGTCGATTCCTAAACGTCTTGGCTTAGAAATTGTTCGTTTCGTTTGTTTTTCCTGGGTATTACACATTCGTGCCACGTCCGAATCGTTAAGCGTGTCCCTACCGGAAGTTTTAACTACGTCGAAAGGTTTTGCTAGTTCGAATGTAGTATTTAGCTCGCGATTCAAAAAAACAACCTAGCTGGGGTTTCGCCCGCTGTACAATGCTTGTCGCACGACTTGCTATCAGTATTTTGCCAAACTCCCAATCAAGGTTGATACCGCGATTATACTGCTCGCAATGTTTCGATATGTCATTTAACCCGTTTTTAAAGGTTTTAACCGCGTTCTCTGCAGTCCCATTGGTTGCTGGGTAACCCGGAGCGGTTAAAATATGCTTCACGCCGTTCCTTTGCAAAAACAATTTAAATTCTTTAGAGCAAAACTGACTACCATTGTCACTGACAATTTTTTGCGGATTACCGTATCTACAGAATCAATAACGTACATAATCATAATAGTGAACATGGTAGACATGATTTTGGGGTTAACAATTTCCAACCATTCAGAAAAAGGGTGAATTACGATTAAAAAATAGAAATCGTTCATTGGTCCCGTAAAATTAACGTGAATGCGCACACAGGGGCCCTTACGACCCTTGGGCCCTTGCCAGCTTTTCGTTTTTACTATTCCTTCATATACTGAATGAAGTTATGACAAAACGAAACTACGCAAAGATTTGAGAATTACTACTCCGTTACCACAGAGCAATACCCATTTCTGCACCGTGAGTTACCTAGAGCGAATTGAAAATCCTCTGTAGGCAACCTGGTCCCTTCCTTTGAACTTCTCAAACGAACCTTTAACTACCACGGCTAAGGTACTATCTTTTCCGTTTCAACCTTAATTGAAAAAAAAAATTCCGGGAAAGGTGGCGTTGCCAATGAAATTTAGATATCCTACTTCAACATATCTGCCGTCGACTACCCCTTCCCTGGGTAACCGTGATACAAAATCCACGTTCGCGATTTCATTACCTTTCCTATACTGATAGCATAATCGAAACCGGATAAGAAATAGGCCCATCTTTGCATACGATTTGCTGCCATCAGTGGTATACAAGATCATTCATTTAATAACGAAAATAGCGGCTTATGATAAGGTCACAATCTTAACAAACTTAATTCCCTTTAAATACTAATAAAGACTTTTTACCGAGGAAACGATCGCTAGCCCTTCTTTATCCAACATACTGTATTTTTACTGCCATTAGTTAAAGTGCGGGCCTTCTTCTTCATCCTTCATCTTTTATCTAGTAAAATTTTCCCGCCGCTGATACCCTGCACAACTCTCTCCGTCCTATTTTGGAAAATTCCAGTCGCTACCTTTATCCCGAACAGGAAGTCGGTTTACTCGGAAAATTCCCTTATGGGTAGACCACGCGGCCAGCATTCGAGGTTTCTTTTCTAATTTGAGTTGGTTCTACGCGTTTGAAAACTCTAACTTTGTGAACTTTACTCCGCCCTGTAGTGATTCATAAATTTCATCTAAGGTTGGTAAAGGGTGATTTACGTCTTTTAGAAATCGATTTAATGTGATTTTATAGTCCGTGCATATTCTTACAGAACCGTCTGGTTTAAGGAATGGAACTAGTAGCGTACCCCATTCGCTGAGTCAAAATCTCCATATTTACCAATTCGTACAATTGCTATTGTTGTTGTTGTTCTAGCGGCTACAATAACCCCGCCCAAGAAGAGTGCATCCTCAATGGGGTCGGTCCACAGGGACACAGGCGTTAGCTGTTTGGGGTTTTCCGGGCATACGAAGAGATGTTACGAGTCGTGGTATGTCTCTCCGCATGCCGGACACTCATTTAGCACATCTTCGTCTAGTCTGCTCAGGTATCAGTTTAACCTGGTGCATGTGCCTAGAACGACATTCACAGGTCTGCAGTCTACATAACTCGAGACTGACTACCTGTGAATGCCGCTCAGAGTCTGTCGATAAGCCGACGGGTCCAGAGGTTACTTTATGAACCTCTGGACTTCGTCCGTTAGTTCATAAAGATGCCTTCTGACATGCCTTAGCGAGGGCTCCTCTGCAAGCAAGTGTCTGATCGGGTGTCCACGTCTGTGGCTCCCTACTAGGAATTGCTTGAAGAGCATTGTGTTGTGCTCCTTTATGGGGAGCATGTTCTGGCGACATCAGAAGACATCCAGTCGCTGTCCGATGTGCAGTGTTCTGTGTCGTCTGCAGCTTCATCCACTGCGTCTTACTGGTCCCCGCCGACCACACTGGTTCTGCGTAATTTAAAACCGGCCTGCCTTGTATGTTGCCAGCAACGTTCCTTTGTCTTTGCCCCACGTACTGCCTGATAACGACTTGAGGGCCTTACTCTGTACTTTGTTGACAATGGCGGTTGCGTGTGCAGAGAAAGAGAGCAGACTGTCGAAGTTTACTCTGAGTATTTTGTGGTTATTCACAGTCGGAATTGGTGTATCATCGACGTGAATTCCCAGCGGCATTCTAAGCTCCTTCGTCTAGGTGGTGAACAAGGTCGAAGAGGATTTTGTAGGGGAGAAGGTTAGGCTCCTAGCAGTGAAGAAGCGAGAAAGCTCGGAGAGATACCCGTTAATTTCGGATAAAAGTCATCAATTCCATTCCTAGATGCCATTATCGAACAATCGTCAGCATAGGAGACAATTGGGACTCGCTCTGGTGGTTAAGAGAGTTTTGAAACATAGTTGTTAAACAGTGATGGG